TACCGGATTTGTATTTCACAGGAAAGTTGACAATAAATGTATAACTTATTCATAATATCTGTCAACATTTCCCATCTACCATGGGGAATGGAATGATAGCACTGGCCACACGAAAAGCAGAAAACACAAACAAGCAGAAAACTGGTGTTACAATGTTTAAGTGCCCCCAAAATTCATATGTTGAAACCCTAACCCCCAATGTGATGGTATTAGGAGGCGGGGCCTTTGGGAGGTGATCAGGTTAGGTGAGGTGATGAAGGTGAAGCCCTTATGACGGGATCAGTGTCCTTATAAGAAGAGGAAGAGACTGGCGCACTCTCCCACCATGTGAAGGTGCACCAGAAGGCCACTGTCTGCAAACTAGGGAGAGGGCTCTCACAGACACCGAATCTGCTGGCACCCTGATCTTGGACTTCCCAGTCTGCAAAGCTGTGAGAAATAAATGTTTGTTGTTTAATCCACCCAGTCTACGGTATTTTCTTATAGCAGCCCGAACAGACTAGGCCGACCAGCATGAACATCTTGATATAATCCCTGATTTAAGTAGAAGATTGTGTCTGAAGATTATGATTTAACTTGTGCAACACATAAGGTCCATTTTCTTATCACTACGACACATAACTTTTTTTTCTTTGGTGAACACAAGTGGTCCTGAGCTAACATCTGTGCCCATCTTCCTCTACTTTGTATATGGTATGCTGCCACAGCATGGCTTGATGAGTAGCACATAGGTCCGCGCCTGGAATCCAAATCTGCGAAGCCTGGGCTGCCGAAGCTAAGCTTGGGAACTTAACCAGTACGCCACCGGGCCGGCTTTGAAACATAATTTTTGATCTAGATTAAATAACTGTTCTTCCCAACTAAATTTGCTCATTTTTCACTGTAAGTTTCCTTATGTATGTCCGAAGAGTAAGGCGGTAGCTGTTGATGTGTTGGCATCAATAAAAGAAATACTTCACAAGTAGAAAATAACACCAGTTTTATGTCAGCATCAGATACTTCCAACAGAAAATCAGTTAATTCCAATAATAAACTTTCCTTCCATCCAATTCATGGACCCAAAATAAAGCTTTTGAAGTTCATTTTGTCAAAGGTAAAACATCTGACACTACTGTGAATGCTATTTTAAATTCAGTTATAAAGTTCAACACCGATGATAAAAATGTTTTTGCGGAGGACATACACTTACAAATTTTGGTGGGGCACAGTGTTGTGTTCAAAACAGTCTTATTAAATTAAAACTCTATGGAGCAGAAATGTACTTTCTCATAAGCAATTATGTCCTGACAGTCCTACCTTCTTTATTGTTTCTAAGAGGTATTCGGAACGCAGATTTGAGGCCCTGGTGACGTTAACCATCACAACCACCAGTAACAAGCAGGCCAGAAGGGAAAGGAAGCAAGCAGGTCAGCCCAGATGCCCTCGCTCCCGCCTGTAGCGTCAGTAGTCCCTGTTCTGTGCATTCACTCACGCATACACCACCCACACCCACTCATCCTCCAGCTTTCTATACACTACTGACTAAAAGGCTTCCTTAGTTTGAGGTTGATTAAATGTATGTTGCCAGTTTCCAGATCCAATTCTGTCCCTTCGTCTTTTGAAAAAGCTCTCGGGGTAGGAACTGGCTGAATTCCAGTGATCATCAAATATGTGTGAGATACGCTCTCTGAAAGGTTCTAATGGATGGGACCTGACCTAGCAGAGAACACCTCCCCAACCGGGATGCTCAGGGCTGAAGGTCTCCCAGCCAGACAAGATGCTCATCTTCTCCACTAGACCACTCAGGACCATTGCTCCCGGGACAGTTTATCTTCCAAACGTGACCCTCTGTTCTCTCACATCCTCTATTTACAACACAGCTTTGACACTCCTCCCATGAGGCAAGAGGGATGCTACGGACTTCAGAGCTGGGACGTAAAAGGCATTATGGCTTCTGTCTGGTTCTCTTGGATGCTCACCCTTGGAAGCCAGCTGCCATGCTGTGAGGAAGCCCAGGCCACATGGAAGGGTCACGTGTCAGTGTCCCAGTTGACTACAACAGCCGATATTCCAGCTGACAATCAGCATCAACTGGCAGACATGTGAGTGAATCAGCCTTCAGTGATTCTAGCCTCCAGATCTAAGGTGACTTCTCAAACCTTGGGGAACAGATGAGTATTCTCCACTGAGCCCTGCCCAAACAGCAGCTTCTGAGCTAAATGACTGGTGTTTTCTTTGAAAAAATAAATGGCTTCATTTTGTCTCACTCCGTGGCCAAGTGGTTCAAGTTCCACATGCTCCGCTTCAGCGGCCCAGGTTCGCGGGTTCAGATCATGGGTGTGGACGTACTCCACTCACCAGCCACAATGTGGTGGTGTCTCAAATACAAAAAAATAGAGGAAGATTGGCAGACACGTTAGCTCAGGGCTAATCTTCCACAAGCAGAAAAGAGGAAGATTGGCAATGGATGTGAGCTCACTGCTGATCTTCCTCAGCAAAAAACAACTTCAGCAACAAAAACAGCTTCATTGAGACATGAGTCACATATTATACACCTATTTAAAGTATATAATTCAAGGGTTTTAAGTGTATTCAGAGTTGTACAACCATCACAATCAATTTTAGAGTATTTCCATAACCCTAAAAAGAAATCTGGACTCATTAGCAGTTAATCTTAGTTTCCTCCCAACACCCCTCCCAGCCCTAGGCCACCACTAATCTACCTGTTGTTTCTAACAGTCTGTCTACTGTAGACATTTCGTGTAAATCAAATCCTACCACGAGGCGTTTTGTGACTGGCTTCCTTCACTTAGCACGATGCTTTCAAGGTTCATCCACACTGTAGATGTTTCATTACCTCATTCCTTTTTATTGCTGAAAGTACTCCATTGTGTGCATACACCACTTTCTGTTTATCCACTCAGCAGATGATGGGCATTGGGTCTGTTCCCACTTTGGCTATTATGGACGATGCTGCTATGGACATTCATGTGCAGGATTTTGTGTGGACGTGTTTTCGTTTCTCCTGGGTATATCCCTGAGGGGCGGAACTGCTGAGTCATATGGAAACTCACGTGTATCTTTTGAGGAACTGCCAGACTGTTTTCCAGAGTGGCTGCACCATTTTCCATTCCCACCAGCAGTGTATGAGGCTTCCAGTCTCTCCACACTCTCATCAACGCCTGTCACTGTCTTTTGTCACCGTAGCCCTCCTGCTGGTGTCGAGTGGCATCTCTGTGGCTGTGATTTACTGTCCTCTGACGGTAACGATGCTGAGCAGCTTTTCACGTGCTTACTGGCCATTTGCACGTCTTCTCTAGAGACAGGCCATTCCAATCCCTCGCCTGTTTCTACATCGGGTTTTCTGTCTTTTATTATGGAGTTGCAAGAGTTCTTTTTATATTCTTGATATAAGTTCCTCAGGAAAGGTGCTTTGCAAATATTTTCTCACATTCTGAGGGTTGTCCTTTCACTTTCTTGATGGAGTCTTTTGAAGCACACATTTTAAATTTGGATAATGTCCAAGTTCTCTATTTTTTCTTTTCCACTTGTGTTTTTGATGTCTTATCTAAGAAATCATTGCCTAAGCCAAGGTCATGAAGATTTACTCCTATATTTGGAGAGTTTTATGGTTTTAGCTTTTACACTGAGGTCTACATTCCATTGAGGTAATTTCCTGTATGGCGTGAGAAGGGTTCAACTTCCTTCTTCAGCATGTGGATGTCCAGTTGGCCCAGCACCATTTGTTGAAGACTAGTCTTTACCCATTGAATTGTCTTGACACTCTTGTATTAAATCTATTAACAGTACATGTAAGGGTTTATTTCTGGACTCTCAATTCTATTCTATTGATCTATTTTTCTATTCTTCCACAAGTACCAAGCTGTCTTTATTACTGTTGCTTTGTGATACGTTTTAAAATCAAGAGTTATAGGACTTACTCAAGATTATTTTGGCTATTCTGTGTCCTTGGAACTTCTATATAAATTTTAGCGTTAGTTTGTCAATTTCGGGAAAGAAAAAAAAAAACAAAAATCAACTATGATTTTGATAGAGATTGCATTGACTCTTTAATTTTGGGGATTCTGTCATTTTAAGCAACTCAATTTTGGGGTGGCTTCTTGTGCAATAACGATACACCAGCCCACTTCAAGGAAACATCATTTTATCATGGATGAACACAAAGGACGTGGATTTGTTTCTGGAGAGAATATATTTTGTCCCTAGGGTGTCTCCCTCTAGATGACCAATGGGACTTTTCTTAGAACAAAGAGTCTTTGATGGTGGTTCTGTCTGGATTCCCAGGAGGAGCCCCTTTCACCACTTCAAGATGAGCCAGCTCCAACAGCTGACTTCTGCTGCTGCTTGGCCCGCCCACCCCTCCACCCAGGGCTGGGGGAATTTCTCTGCACTGGGAACAGTCAAATGTCAACGACCAGACCTGAGATTTCTTTTCTCCTCCAGCTTTTGGGTGCCTCCTGCTTAGAGTAGGGATTTGCTGAGAGAAATGGGGACCCTGGCTGCCCACGCCCCACCCCCACTCCCAAGAGCAGCAGGCCCAGGGCAACAGCCGCGAACCTGATGGATGACAAGAAGACAGGAGGCTTCAACTAAGACTAACGTCACAGCTGAACTTGAGAGCATCTGTTCAAAATGTTCCCCAGCGTCCTGGGAGGTTTTAGTCTTCTTGGTGGTGACACTAATGGTCAAGCTGTGCCAGGACTGTTCTATTTGTAAATATTCAGTGAGGGCATTTCTCAATGAGAGAAGATCCACTTCAGGGCATTTAGCCCTCTTTTATTACTGTGTGTACAGGAGTGAGGGCCACCTCCAGCCCCACTGTGGAGACATCAGGCTGGGTTCAGAACAGGAGCCTGGGGAGGCCTCACGAGGGCAGTGTGCCCTGAGACCTGCTCACGACCTCTGCCCTTGGAAGACTCCAGCTCATGGTTCTGCCCCTCTGGCAGTTAGCCCCCAGGCAGGGGGGAAACAAGCTGCAAGCAGTCACAGAGACGAGTCTGTGGGGTTTATCGGGGCCTGGGCTGCAGCCAGGTCAAGTGCCCGCTTTATTCAGGCAGGAACTGTCCGAGCAGGGCTCAGCCCCGGCCTTTACACATTGTGAAGGCAGAACTGAGAGCAAGGCAGAAATCTAGAAAATTAATGCATGGATCCAGACAATCAAGAAAGATGACACTGAATCAGCTTAAGGCAAAGACTGGCCAGGGTAGAGAACAGAAGAAGTGAGAGGAAAGAAAAGAAACCTCTGGCCGCTTGAGCCACTGGGGGCCTAGCGGAAGTAGTTGGGACATTCATGGGCAACCAGGTGCCAGGCTTGATCAAAGGCCTGCACGACGGCCGGCTCCAGGGGCCCTTCCTCAGCAGCTGCCAAGTTCTGTGCCAGCTGCTCCAGGCTGGACATGCCCAGGATGACCGCGTCCCCGTGGGCACCCTGCAAGGGGAGTTGACCAGATGTCAAAACACTTCTGCAGCACAGTGACTCCAGTCACACCCACTCCCCCTCCCAGCCTCGCCCCTGCCAAGAGGTGGGATCTGATGTTCATTCATGCCTACACACTTCTACACAGAACTTATGGTGCCTTCAACAATTCTAACTACGTGTCTCCAATCCCCGTCTTCTTCCCCCTGCTGGCACACGGCTCATCCCCAGACAGACCTACGTGCAGAGCCCAGATCTGCCCCTCAGCAGCTGTGTAAACCTGGCTTAGTTATCTAACCTCTCTGAGACTCAATCTTCCACTCTCTTTTCAGCCGGGTTATGGGAATGAGAAACTACGTAAAGCATTTAGCTCCCACTGGTTGAGAACCTTCTATATATGCCAGGCAGTATGCAACTGTATAAGGCTAAAGCTGGAGAAAAGTTTCAGCCCAGAAGACAGGGGACACCAGAGAGGGAAACCCCAACTCCCACCAGAGGAGCCACTAATGGGTTTTCAGTCAAATCTGTGATAGAGTTCTACCTGCTTCCCTGCTGTGTGACCCGTTTCCTCATCAGTATACCTAGGATAATCACACTTCATCAGGCAGAGCTAATGACTACATCCATGTCTGTAAAGTCCTCAGCACAGAGCCTGGCACCCAGACAGTTACTAAGAACAGCAGGAAGACGGCCGTGAGAATGGGAACAGAGAGAAATTTCAGAGGAATAAAACCAGAAATCCCCTAAAGGTAATTCTGGCTGCCCTAAAGGAGTAGAAGCGTCCATAAAGGAAACAGCTGGTTACCTGCAGCTGCGAGTGGTGGTACATCCACCTGAGGGCTGCTGAGGTCATGGTTGGGGCGCTGGTCCCATAGGCAGCCTGCAGGGCCTTCTCCACCAGGGCGATGGCCTCAAAGTGGTCCTCCTTCCAGTAGCTGGGTAGGTGAGGAGGGTGACACAGCGGTCAGTACCATGGGGTCACATGGGGGACCACAGCCAAAGAGCCAACCAGGGCAGCTGCCCCTACCCCAACTCTGCAGCACGGAGGGGTCAGTGTCCTCTCTAGCAGTGGGTCTCCTGCCTTACTGGGCAGCAGAACCACCCATGATGCTGGCTCCCTCACCAGAGACCACAGCGACATCTTTACTCCTAAGAACTCAAAGCCTGCCCTTACTTTACTCAGTAAAACAAAGGCGGGCAGGACTGGGCCCCAGGCCTTCAAAGCCTCAATCCAGGGCTTTCTTTCCTTCCGGGCAGGTGATGAGCACTTCTCAGGGAAGAGCCCTGACTTGGAAGATCTGGCACAGAGTCCAGGGATCCTCATTTCCTCACAGAGGTCCCACAAAAATAAGAAGAAACCCCACAGAGGGCTTGGTATTTCCACTGGAATCAAGAGATGTAGGTCCAGGCAGCAAGGGAGGCCTGGAGCCCCTGGGAAAGCAGCGTAGAACTTCTCCTTTGCAGATAAGGAGGACCTCCCAACTCCCCCCACCCTGACCAGACGTCCCCAGCTCACCGATTCCTGTAGACCTCAGCCCAGCTGTTTCCAAAGAAGCGGCCCGCAGGCTGTTTCTCGTCCTTGTCCTCATACTTGTACTTGCCGGTCAGCAGGCCCCCTGCGGGAAGGCTGCCATCAGACCTGCTGACTGCACTGTGCCCAGAGGCTGCTCTGGACTTGGGGGGATGGTGGGGGAGCCAGGAGGGATGGAGGACAGGCCAGCCTCTGGCCAAACCCCTCCCTGCTTCCCTGGTCCTGTGCCAGGATTTCCGGTCAGGAGGAGGCAGAGACAGGACAGGGCCAGGAATCCCTCCCCCAGGGGCACCCGGGCCCCCTGCAGCCCGTACCAGCCAGAGGGTTGTAGGCGTAGAACCTCAATCCAAAGTGCCTGAGGCAGGGGAAGAGCTCCGTTTCCACCTGCCGGGTGGTGGCGTTGTACATGCCCTGGCGGGAGAAGGGCCGGTGGAGAGGGTGCACGTGTCAAGGCGAAGACCCGAGCCTCTTTTAAAACCTCAGTCAAAACCTGCCCAGGACTTCAGCAACGATTTGCAAAATCACTAGTGGTGGTAGGGAACGGGGAGACGGTGCTGGGCCCAAGGTAGGGAAACTTGACTGGATATATCATTCCACAAATGTCTGTGGGTGCCAACCGTGGGCTGCACACTGGGTTTCTAAACATGAACGAGTCCAGCAAGGTTTCTGCCTCCGCCTCTAAGAGATGTTAGAGTCCAGTTAAAAACACAGACAGAAGACAGATGATCAGGTGGGTTCTATGATCATAGCAGATGCTCAAAAATACTCACTGAATTCACAAAGGTGAGGTCTGGAGAGAGGGGACTCCACTGGGTGGAGGGAAAGGCTTCCAGAGGACGAGGCATCTAAGTGAGTCCCGGGCACTGCTACCAGGGGAGGAGGGGAAGGAGGGCTCCAGGCTGCAGTGAGGCCGAGGAAATGGGAAGGACAGGACAAGGTGCGCACGCGGGCAGCAAGGGGAGCCAGGGCCGGTGCGAGCACGTGCCTGCTGGCCAGGCTGAGGAGCTTGCATGTGACCCTGAGGGCACCTGGGAGCCATCTACAGGCTGTGAGTAGGGACCGGCTGCTATGGGGAGGGCATGCGGGCCGTCAGAGGGGCCCAGAGTCCTGGGATCAGCAGGATCCCTGGAGACTGAGGCCTCTGCAGCCCTGGCCCTCACCTGGTACACGGTGGGCAGGATCCAGCCATTGCTCTTGCAGAGGGTACAGATCTCGGCCACCTCCCAGGAGGCATAGTTGGAGAGGCCCAGCTCCACAAACTTGCCCTGCAGGGGAGACACGGCCATCAGAACCCACTGTAGCCAGGAGACCAGGAAGAGGAGACCGGGGTGGGGACCCTGGGATGCGGTCTGTCTCCAGCTGCACTCTGGGGCAGCCCTGCACCCTCCACTCTCCTGGGTAATGACAGGGCAAGGAGAGGAGCAGGACACCTCCTCCCAGAACTCTGGGGGCTACCCTCACCTCCTGGTGCAGCTGGTGGCAGGCGCGCAGCGTCTCCTCCATGGGGGTGTTGTGATCTGGTGCATGCAGGTAGAAGAGGTCCACCCGGGGACACTGCAGCCTCTTCAGTGACGTCTCCAGTTGGGACCGGACACTGTCAGGTTTCAGTGACTTCCCTTCCCAGGGATTGGCCTTGGTAGCGATTTTCACTTGGGGGGAGAATGGAATGGTTAAGAGACTTATAACCACTTACTAACACATGATCCTGCCTAAATCATTTAAGTTCTCTGAGCCTCAATTCTCTAATCTGTAAAACGGGGATATAACAGTGAAACTGTGCTCATAGGGAGATACGAGGATTAAATAATGTCTAGTATAAGCTCTCAATGCTCACTGCTGTTATATCACTATCATCAGTCACCAAACTGCTGGCTGTGCCAGGCCTTGCACTAGAGACTGAGTTCACAGAGATGAACTAACACTTCCAACACTCGATCTCTGCCCTCCAGGAGTGCCCAGTCTAGAAGGTGATGTTACAGTATGGTAAGTGCACTAGAGAAAAGCACCTGGTGTTAAAGGAGCCCAGACTAGAGGTGTGTGGCCAACCTGGGAATTGCAGAGAAGGCTTCCTGTAGGGGATGACCCCTGACCTGGAGCTGTCTCCATAACCAATGAGGAAGGGTGAGAAGCACATTCCAGAGCATGGGAACGTGGGCAAAGTCACAAAGGCAAGAAAACACAGCCTGTGAGCAGGGAGCAGTGGGACATGAGACAAGAGAAGGGGCACAGACCTAATCCCAAGGGTTTTCTCAAATACCATCATGCAAGGTTTTCTGACGGGACCGGTCAGCTATGTTCACTCTGGCTACAGTACAGAGAAAGAACTCAAGGGGGCAGGCGTGGAAACAGGGAGACAAGTAAAGATGCTGCTGCAAGAAGTCAGGAAAGAGATGCCTGAGATCCATTTGAGAGGCAAGTAGAAGGCAAAACAAGCAGAAGGTTAAGTATAGTTTCCCCCTCCCCTTCCAGACTCACAGAAGCGTGCACATCCACTGCAGACACAATCCCCACGAGAACAAGACAGTGTTCTGCCACGCAAACAGCTTAGTGCCATAAAGGACGCCAGCTGTCTGGACTGACGGATGGAGGGACTCTGCGCTTTTCACACTTGGCAAAGGCAACTCAACAGGTCGCAGGGGAGTCATCAGACCACGTGGTCCCACAGGTTCCTGTCCAGATTTTCTCCATTCCCCCACACTTCTCAGTTCCCCTGCAATCTTAGCGTGGACTTTGCCTCAGCTCCAACCTGAGGACTTTGGCTCAGAGCGCGCTGGACTCGAGTAGGGAAGCAGGGAAGGGCTGGAGGAGGAAAACCAACTCAGAAACAAAATCTTCATGATCAGGGAGAGGCAGCCCGGTGAACTAGAAAGTGTAGGCACGAGAGACGTGTTCCCATTCTGTTCCTCCAGATCCACCAAGCTATGAATCCAAGGAGGACTCAGAGGGGATCATGTGCAAGGGCTGGGAAGGAAGAGCCTCAGGGTGGAAAAGAGGAGGCAAAGTGTGGTAGTAATAATCATAGCTAACGTTTACTGTGCCCCACTACGTGCCAGGCACTCTCCTAGGCACATCTAATGGCACGAGGCTAATGAGGGACAGTCCCTCACACACACACACACACACACACACACACACCCTTCACTCAAGCCACATGTGCCTACTGGCCATCCTTCCACACACCATGCCCTTTACATTTCCGAGCCCAGTCTTTGCACAGCTATGCCCTCAACTTCTAAAGCCCCTTTCCCTCATTCTCTGCCCAGCAAACTACTATTGATCCTTTCAGGCCCAGCTCCAGTGTTCTCTGAGCCTTCCTTACTGTTTCTCCCTGTCCCGGTCATCCCCCCCTCCCCTCAAAAGGGCTTCCTCTTCTGGCATCCTCAGCAATCATTTGCTTCAATCTTCCCCATTAGACTGTGAGCTCCCTGGTGATGGGTTAGAGTCACTTTCCTTCCTATAGTCCCACAACAAAGCCTGGCACAGGGCTACATAAGTGGACAGAACGGCCTTACCCCCTCTGACACCTCCCCGCCCCTCACCCTACGGTCCCTGCTTCCCCAGCCCGGTCTGCAGCGTTGCTATAGCTCTCCCTGAGAGAGTCAGGGGTACTGCCAACTGAACAAAGTCTAGAGTCTGACCAAGGACCGGGATGGGAAAAGGGTGCTCCAGGAGCGCATGGGAGGCGAGGGCAATGGGAGAGGCGTAGGCAGAGCGCCTGGAGCCTGGTTATGGGCACCTGGCAGGGCTGGAGGAGGGACTGCATAGCTCTGGGGACCAGTGCCACACAGAGATGCACCAAGACAGCAACAGGGGTAGGAAGTGACGGACTAGACCAGACTCGGAGTAGGACTCGGGAGTTCCAGCGCTGCAACCCCCAGAGGAAGGTGAAGGGGAGGGGAAGGTGGTCAGGACAAAGCCCTGTCCAGCTGTCCGGGTCTAGACGTGCACGGGGCCTGAGGAGCTGGGGTTCACAGAGCTGCAGGGGGGCCAGGGGAGGATGGTGCCGGGAGGGGACGAAGGTGTCGGTGCTGACCGCGGTGGGGGCAGGGCTGGGGTCGGGTCAGCGGGGCGCGGTGCAGGGGGAGGGCCGGGGGCCGGGGCGCGGGCGCCAGGCCTTACCTCTGCAGTCGCCGCCGCCCAGCCCGAGCCCCAGGCCGCCCAGGATGCTCTCGGACTGGCCGTCGCTGTACATGAAGGCCGTGTCCAGCTCCGTGTGGCCGCGCTCCAAGAAGGCGCGCACGGCCGTGCCGCTGGCGGGTGCGTCCATGCGGCGCCCCATCTCCATGGTGCCCAGCACGGTGGCGGGCCGGACTGCGGCGCCCAAGGGGGCCTGCGGCGACCGCGACATAGCGGCAGCGGTGGTGGTCCGAGCCTCGCGCAGCCGGGGGAGACGCCGGCAGCAGAGCCCGGAGCGAGCCAGGGCACGCACCACGGCACGTGACGCTTCGGCCAACATGAGCTCGGCGCCTGCGCGCTGGGGCGCCTCGGGCCCCGCCCATCCGCCGCGGGGGAGGAGCCCCGGAGGCCGCAAGGGAGCGAGGACAAGGAGCGCGGCGCCCCCCCACGCACGCTCGGCGGGCTCGCGGCGCCTCCAGGGATCGTCCGCCAAGTGCGCGGCGCAAGGGGCGGAGCCGCGGGCTCCGGGCGCGGGGGGCGGGGCCTCGGGTCAGCTGACCCCGGCAGTGGAGGCCGAACCCAGAAGCCGGGCTCGGGTGGCGGATCCTGACGCGGCGAGGTGGGTTTGAGGCTGGGGGCAAATGCGAAGGCAGCGGGTCGGGACTCTGGGGCTTCCCTGCCACGTCTTTCCAAACCCTCCTCCAAACCCTGGACCATCCTGGGGCTCCTGTCTCCTCCTTGGGGCGCGAGATCCTGGGACGGGGCTCTGGGCCGGGATTGGGTGGCCCTCGGGGGCCCATGTCCCCCTCCTCAGGGGCGACCATCATGGCCTCTCGGACCAGCCTGGCCGGGGATTGGGGTCTGGGTCCCCTTTTCACCTCCTGGTCCGGGCCGACGGGCCCCTTCGCTTCTGGCGGCTTTGTTTTCCCCAGGGCGGACTAGGGGAGGGGGCCTCGCGGCGATTGAGCGCTGACCCCAGCGGCTGCCCTGTCATTATCCCCGCCAAACAGGCGGCTCGCGCTGGGCTGAGTCACCAGGAGGGAGTTGTGACCCAGGACCCAGAGGCCTGGAGTGGGCGGTATCCCCAAGCCGGACGCTCCTTTCCTCGGTATACTCCCCAGGTCTGCCCAGACTGCCTCCTCCCCATGCCATGCCTAGGGCAAGTTTCCAAGTGTGTACCTGGGAAGTCTGGGTTTGGAAGTGTGAGGACTGGCACGGGTATTGTCCATTCAATACTTACTGATGGCTGCTGTGTGCCAGGGACCCCAGCGGGGAGGGGGGGAGCTACAGCCAGAACGGAATAATAGCCATCCCTGGCTGTTACTACTGAGTGAGTACTAACCTGTGCCAGGCACCGTTCTGATCCCTTGGCCAGGATTATCTCATTTAACTCTGCAGTCCGCCTGGGAGATGGATAGTTGCATTATTCCCCCACTTTACAGATTGGAACTCTGAGGCTGAATCACTTGCCCGGGAGTTCTATACTAGTAGGCATCAGGCAGGTCAGTTCCAAAGTGCTTTCTCTTCAACCCTAGGCCATCCCAACTCACAACTAGGTCTTTCTCCCTCCCTCCCTTCCTTTCTTCCTTCTTTTCTCTCTGTTTCTCTCTTTCTTTCTCCCTTCTAGTCTCTCTCTGCTTTCTGAACCTTTACTGTGCAGCTGGTGTGTCTAGGCCCTGAGAATACGTTTACAACCAGGGTGATGGAAGAGGAGTGGGCTTAAAGAGCAATGTTCGCTGAGGATTCTTCAGGTGTGTGGACAAGGGGGGGCAAGAGATGACAGGTGTCATCCAGCCAGCTCTTGCAAGGCCTCTTTGAGAGAGCAATGTGGACTGGGTCTCAGTATCTCTTTATCAGGCCCTCCAGGGGAAGAGGACACTCCTAGGGGAAGAGACAGCATGTGCAGAAGCCTGGAGGCCTGAGAATGACTATTTAAGGGACAGGGGATGAAGTGGGGAGGGCAGTTCTTGGAGTACCATAGGGCTTTGCCTCAAGGAATTTGGGCTCGATCTAGTAGATGCAGGTGGCCACTTGACTGGCTTCGGTGGAAAGCATCTCCCTGACTCAGCTTGGGATCTGGGAGAGGCACTTGGAGGTGGCAGAAGATGCCTTCTCCAGTGCAGCCTTTCTCAAAGTGTGGCCCCGTGCACCAGAATCAGCTAGGGGAGCTTCTTAAACGCAAGGTCCCTGATTCCCAGCCCAGACACACTGATCTCGAATTTTGAACACGTGTCCTCCCAGGACCCCTGCTGTGGTCCTTGTTAAACTTATGGAGGAGGTCAAGCTTTGTTGCAACCCTGGACATCCGTTTGCTTCGTGCTGTGTGTCCAGAAGGTGAGCCTATTTTCAGAAGCAAGGCCTGGGCCCAGACTGGCTCCCTTCTTGGTTCAGAACCTACAGGTGAAGGGCCGTATGCACAGCGGCCCTCAGAGGAAGGCGCCTTCTGTTCAGGGCTCAGGTGTGTCTCAGATCATACTGAGCCCCGAGCTGCACACAGCGCTGTGCATGAACAGGAGACCACCCGCCCAGTGCCCTGGGCCCTGTGAGCTAAGATACATTCCTCAGGACACCCCCTCCCTCACTGGGCATGTGTCCACCTCATTACTTCCCCAACTTGGCGAAAAGAGGGAGTGAGAGAATGGCCTCAGAGTGGTTGAGATACTGGACTCTCATCCTCAAACAGTTACTACCATGCATTATGTCAGGCACTGGGCTCAGAGCTTTATGTGCATTTCATCTGCACAACAGCCCCAAAGAATGTGTCGTTATCCTCATTTTGTAGACAGGCTCAGACAGGTTACTCACTTGCTCAGGGCCACTCAACCTTATCTGTAGAATGGGGGCAGTATTCCCCATCTGACAGGGAAGTTACGAGGATGGCAGTGTACTAACACGTGATGGACTGCAGTGGCTTGATCAGAATCTGGGGCGGGGTGAGGAGGCAGTCCCGTTGCGGGGTGGCTGGGGAACAAAAGGACTTGATTTGAAATGCCTTTGGCATTGCCGAGATACAGTTCTCACCTGGACTGTATGTTATCCTGGGGTGGCCTTGTAGGTGCTGGTGGCAGGACATCAGGTAAATTTTTCCAACATCAGCTGTGCTGAAGGTCATCAAGGTGGGTCACCAAGGTACAAGAAGAGGTTTTCGGCCACTTTTGCTGGGCCCTGGAGATGCTGCAGTGAACCAGGCAGGCGGTGACCTGGGGCGCCCTCGTCTCCAGCTCCGGGGCCTCTGCTAGTCACGTCAGGGCTGAGAGCCTGGAGCTTCCTAAGAAAAGAAGCTGACTCGCTTCCTGTCCCTCCCCAACGCTCTCAGATCCCTGCAGGCTCAGCAGTTGCATGGGTTCAGCCTGGGTATTCTAGTCCGTCTGGGCTGCTGTAACAAAATACTGTAGACTGCGTGGCTTAGAAACAACAGATGTTTATTTCTTATGGTTCTGGAGGCTGAGAAATCCAGGATCAAGGTGCTAGTCAATTCAATGTCTGGGTCCACTTCTTGTTCATAGATGGCTGTCTTCTCACTGTGCCCTCACATGGCAGAAGGGGTGCCAGAGCTGTCTGGTTCTCTTTTATAAGGGCACTCACCCCATTCATGAGGGCTCTGCCCTCATGGCCTAAGTACCTCCCAAAGGCCCCGCCTCAGAACACCATCATGTTGGGGGTTAGGTTTCATTGCATTTGGGGGGGACATAAACCTTCAGTCTATAGCACAGGGCATTGCTTTATGAGGATCGTGGGGCTCCTGACACAAGTAGGAACTGAAGGTGGCTGGAGAGAGCCTCAGCCTGGGTGAGGAGGGCCCCTCTGAGCCCAGTGACAAAAGGGGAAGCTCGCTTTTTGGCTGTACAAGAATCTGGGTGGCTATGCCAGACCACAGGAGGGTTCTGCTGCACCCAGGGACAGAGTGCCTGAGGAAGTGTGACCTGGTGGCTGTGAGAAGGGGTTTGGGTCCCGGTCTGGGCTTTGACTCCTGGTTTTGCTGCTTCTTGGCTGGATGGCCCTGGCAACTCACTTCCCTGGTTCCTCACCGATGTTTCAGTAGCTCCCACTTCGCAGAGGTGATGTGAAGCTAGATGTGCCAGTGCCTGCAAGGTGCTTGGCACAGAGCTGCTAAGGAGCTCAGTGATCGGGGGCTATGATGACTCTGTGTGGTAGGGATGGCTCCCGCAGGCTCCACTGTCTCTCCCTTCTCTGAGACCGTCACACGGGCAGTCACTGTCCAGGGTGCTCGAGTACAGGAGGGTCCTTCCTTGCCTGCCCCTGCAACCACCATCTTCTGGCTTTGTCGGTGGTGAGAATGGGGAGGTGGCTGTGGACTCCGTGCCAGCAGGTGTCCCACACACATGAGCTCCTGGGAAAATACGGCTTGAGCGCACCACACTTGAATCCCAGCCACCTGTGCAACCCTGGGACTCACCTGGGATTCTCCACTTGCCTCATCCAACCAATGCTGGGGGACAAGCCTTCTTTAAGTGAGATAACATACTGAATGGGCCTGGTCTCAGCAGACCGTCACAGTGTAATTTACAATAACAAAAGATTGGAAACCATCTAAATGTTCAAGAGTTACAGCAGGGCCGGCCCTGTGGCTTGGTGGTTAAGTGTGTGCGCTGCGATGCTGGTGGCCCGGGTTCGGATCCCGGGTGCGCATTGAGGCACCACTTCTCTGTCCATCCTGAGGCCGAGTCCCACATACAGCAACTAGAAGGGTGTGCAGCTATGACATACAACTATCTACTGGGGCTTTAGGGGCAAAAAAAAAAAAAAAAAAAAACTTTAAAAAAAAAAAAAAAAAAAAAAGAGTTACAGCAAAGGTGACGTTGTTTGAGGGCTCGGTTCTCCACACTCTATTTATGAACTCATTTAACCCTCACGGCTGTACGAGGGAGGCACTGTTATCACCCCATTGTACAGATGGGGGAACTGAGGCACAGAGGGGCTATCACAGCATTAATGAGTGGTAAAGCTGGGATTTGAGGGCACTTTTCCCTGACCACAGATCCAGCATTCTACCTGCACATTTGGTTGCCATGTGTTTGCTTTGATCTCTGTTCTTGAGGCTAGTTGTGTCCTCTGGTTCCTGGGCTTGGTCGGTGCCAGGTGATAAGGCTGGCATGGGCTTAGGTTGGCGGGAGCATGACTAGGATCCGGGCCTCCCAAGGCTAAAGGCCCCCTTTCTTTCTCCCTGTAGAACGCCCCCTCCCTCCCGCAGCAGCCATGGTCTGGAAGAAACTGGGCTCCGGCAACTTCTCCAGCTGCCCCAACGGCTCCCGCCAGTGGATATGGGACGTGTTTGGCGAGTGTGCCCAGGACGGCTGGGACGAGGCCAGCGTGGGCCTGGGCTTGATCTCCATTTTCTGCTTTGCTGCGTCCACCTTCCCGTGAGTAGTGTCAGGGTGGCAGGCATGGGGCAGGGGCTCTGGGGACTGCAGGGAGGAGGGGCTGCCTGGCTGGCGTGGGCCTCTCCAGACTCCAGGCCGAGTGTGCTCCCTCCCCCACCCCCACTCACTGACTTCCACCCCACCTTGGGGGGCTCTGCACTGAACCCCACCCTAGGCCCCGCTTTGTGCTGGGGGCAATTCTGACAACAGGTAATAGTTGCTACTGTTTACTGAGTGCCCGCTGTGTACCTGGCTCAGTTCTAAGCACTTGACATGTTTTTACTTCATTTAATCCTCATAACAACCCTGTGAAATAGGGACAATTACTATCCCTACTTTACTAGGAAACGGAAACCCAGAGAGGTTAAGGAACTTGCTCTAGGTTGCACAGCTAGTGAGAGGAGGCGGAGGGCTGGGAGGGCTGGGAAGCACGAGACACAGCCTCTGTCCTGTGACAATCTGGTGGTGGACAAGCAGCGATTACAAAATAGTGTGGCCAGTGCCGTGATTGGAGAATGTGACCTGGACAAGTCACTTTGCTGCTCTGTGCCTCAGTTTCCTCATCTGTAAAATGAGAATGCTGTTCTCCACCTCCCAGGGTTGCTGTGAGGATGGCATGGGGGGTGTGTACAGAAAGCACCCAGCTCAGGGCCTTTGCACAATGCATGCTCAATTGCATGGCTGGACGGCGTGTGTGAGGGTCAGGGGGCCAGGGAGGGGTGAGGTCGAGGAGGTCATCGAGGGCCCTGTCATGGAAGGGCATTCTCCACTGTTAGGAAATTTGCTCTTTATCCTGAGGGGGAAAGATAAGGGTTTATTCAGGGGCTTGACATTTTTTTAAATAGGTTTTTTGAGAGAGAGTTCACATACCATACAATTAGCCCACTTAAATGCACAGTTCAATGGTTTTAGAATATCCACAGAATTGTGTAACCATCGCCACAGTCAGTTTTAGATCATTTTCATCACCCTAAAAAGAGACCCCAAAACAAATGAGTCATTCCTCATTTCCTCCTAAATCTCCCAGCCCCTGGCAACCACTGGTTTCCTTTCTATCTCTATAGATTTGCCTATTCTGGACATTTCGTATAAATGGAATCATACGTATGTGGCCTTTTGTGACTGGCTTCTTACACTTAACATAACATCTTCAAGGTTCATCCATGTTGTAGCACGTTTCGGTACTTCATTCCTTTTTCTGTCCGAATAATAGTCCATTGTATGTGTAGAGCATATTTTATTTATTCGTTCATCCATTGGTGGACATTTGGGTTGTCTCTGCTTTTTGGCTATTATGATTAAGGCTGCTATGTACATTCATGTACAAGTTTTTGTGGGGACAGATGTTTTCATTTCTCTTGGGTGTATACCTAGGAGAGGAATTGCTGAGTCATATAATAACTCCACATTTAATCTTTTGAGGAACTGCCAGACTGTTTTCCAAAGCACTTGCACCATTTTTATATTCCCAGCGGTGTGTCAAGGTTCCAGTTTCTCCAAATCTTCATCAACCTTTGTTATTTTCTATCTTTTTTATTACAGCCATCCTAGGGGATGGAAAGTGGTATCTCACTGTGGTTTGATTTCTATTTCCCTGGTGACTAGTGATGTTAAGTAGCTTTTCATGAGCTTATTGGCCAACTATATATCTTCTTTGGAAAAAGGTCTATTCAGATCCTTTGCCTGTTTTTCAATTGGATTATTTGTCTTTTCGTTGTTGAGTTGTGAGAGTTCTTTATATATTCTAGATACAACACCCTCATCTAATATGTGATTTGCAAATATTTTCTCATTTTGTGGGTTGTCTTTTTTTGTGTGTGTATGAGGAAGATCAGCCCTGAGCTAACATCCATGCCAGTCCTCCTCTTTTTGCTGAGGAAGACTGGCCCTGAGCTAACATCCATGCCCATCTTCCTCCACTTTATGTGGGACACTGCCACAGCATGGCCTGACAAGTGGTGCGTCGGTGCGCGCCCAGGATCCAAACTCGGGCAGCCAGCAGCGGAGTGCGTGCGCTTAACTGCTACGCCACAGGGCCGGCCCCTGTGCGGGTTGTCTTTTCACTTGATTGTGTCCTTTGAAGCAAAAAAGTTATAAATTTTGATAGTGTTCAATTTATTTTTTCTTCTGTGGCTTGTGCTTTTGGTGTTATATCTAAGAAATCATAGCCTAACTCAAGTAACAAAGATATGCCTTTATCTTTTCTTCTGAGGGTTTCATAGATTTATCTGATTCTGACACCAGTTCCGATGTGTGTTTTTTTCCCAAACCACCAAGCAATTAACTCACTTCTGACACTACCTGGAGACAGCATCAGATCCCACAGGTTAAAGGCTCAGTCCTAGAAGACTGACCCCCCAACCGCCCCCACATCAGATGCCCATCTCAGGTCCAGGTTGTCATCTGTGCTTCTGACTGACCTGCTATAAATCGGAGGTTCCAACAACCCCTCCTCGAATTTGAGTAATTTGATAGAGTGGCTCACAGAACTCAGAGAAATATTTTACTAATAGATCACTGATTTGTTATAAAAGAATATAACTTAAGAACAGCCAGATGCAAGACATGCATAGGGCAAGGCACATGGGAAGGCACTTGGAGCTTCCGTGCCCTCCAAGTGCACCACTCCCCAAATCTCCACATATTCACTGACCCAGAAGCTCTCCGAACCCCATCTTTTTGGGTTTTCATGGGGGTCTTATCACATAGGCATGGTTGAAAAAATCATTGGCTGTTGGAGATTGAACTCAATCTTCAGCCCCTCTCCCTTTCCCGGAGGTCAGGGGCGTGGAAATGAAAGTTCCACCCCTCTAATCACATGGTTGGTCTCCCTGACCATCAGCCCCCTCCTCAAGTGACCTAGGAGCTTTCCCAAAGTCACCTAATTAAGATAACAGAAGATACTTCTATTGCTCTCATCACTTAGGAAATTACAAGGGTGTTAGAAACTCTGTGCCAAGAACAGGGAAGAAGACCACAAATATGTTTTTTTAATTATAAATCACAAATTAGCTCTTACATTTGGGTCTTTGATCCAGTTTGAGTTGTGTTTTGTATATGGTGTGAGGTAGGGGTCCAAGCTCATTCTTTTGCGTGGGAATATCCAGTTGTTCAGGTACCGTGTGTTGAAAAGACTGTCCTTCCCCTGTTGAATCTTCCTAGTACACTGTCAAGAGCTGACATTTTTACTGGGAATTACCTTGTTCCAGGTGCCATAGTAGGTGTGGTGCAAGTAAGCACAACACACACTATCCTTGCCTTTGCAGAGCTTCCATTCTGGCACCCTTTAAAAGACAGTCTGAGAATCACAGGGAAAAAGGACTGGAGGGACAAGGAGAGAGACTGGAGGCAGGGAGACCACCTCGGAGGCTGTGTAAGACGTCCAGCAAGCAGTGATGTCGGGGGGCATTGGAGAGGCCCTTAGGAGGCAGACTGGACAGGTGTGGGTGACTGATGGAGGTCGAGGAAGAGAGACTCCCTGTCCTGGAGTGAGAGCTTCCCCAGAACTATCTGAGGAGCTGGCTGAGGCTTCCCCTTCCTGCCATGGCATAAGGCTGGCCCTAACCAGTTTAACCAGTGAGGGGGGTCAGAGGCCTGGGAGAGAGCCCCAAGTGATGACAGGAAGGGCAGCCACCTTCCTGCCCCTCCTCAGGACACTGCCTTTCCTGGGTGTGACAAAATCAGTTTCCCTGCGATTTAAGGAGACACAGCAAGTCACAGTGTCCCAGAAGGAGCTTTAAGGGCCACGTGATAAACCTTAATTAAGGGCCTTCTCGGTGCCAGGCCTGTGCTGGGCACTGTCCCTGCCCTCAGGAAGCTTGAGTCCCAGAGGGACGGGGACATCCAGTGTTACAAAGGAGGAAGGAGAGGATGCCAGTGAGCTCACGCCAAGGAAGGCTCGGAGGAGGCACTGGTACTTCCTGAAAGATGGAGAGGAGGGGGTGGCAAATGTCTGCAGATGATGAGCTTGGAGGAAGGGACCACAGTCCTGGGGGAGGGGACGAGGGCAGAGGGACAGCTGGACCTGGAGACCTTATAAGGGTGTGCTCAGGAGGATGTGGGTCCTTACTGAAAAGCAGTGGAAGGCTCTGAAAGATTTTGGCAAGATTGGGGTTTTAGAAAGATCCTGAGAGGGTGGATGGATTTGAGGGGAACCAGGCTTGGTTAGGAGACCTCGAGAGGTGGGTGGAGGGGGCTCGATAGGAGATGGAGATGGGAGGACAGCTGGGGGAAGACCCTGCGCCGATGCCCAGCTTTCCTAGTCTCTGGCTTGGGTGATGGATGGGCAGAGGTGCCATTTACTTACCTTGTTCTTATTTACATACACACAGATGATTAAAAGGAATGTAACAGTAAATGGCAGTGTGTGGGATGGTTAAGAGCGAGACTGGAGCCTCAGGGTCTGGGTGCAAATCCTGGCTCCAAGACTCCCTAGGTATGTGACATGACTTGTTCAGTCCCCAGTGAGGAGGCTCGTCAAAATAGACTTGACCTCATGGGGGGCTGTGAGGACAGAATGAATTAATACACACGAAGGGCTCGGAGCTGCACCCGAGGCCCCGTTGCCACTGTCAGCTTTGGACTCATGCTGAGACCTGGCCAGAGGTCCAAAGAGAGGGTCCCAGCACCAAGGACCTTTAGGAAAACAACCTAGGTACCAAAAGCCACTGACTACTGTTAACGGAAAGCACAGCTCCAGGCCCCACAGCCCCTCCTTCTCTGTTGCCCTTTGAAGATAACAGGCTGTGGTTCAGCCCATCTTGTCATCAAGCGCTCCTGGAGATGGGGCGATGCCCAAGCCTTGGGCCCACTGCCACCACCACTATCCTTCTTTGAAACCCCCACAGCCTCCATAGAAGAAAGAATCCAGGGTCTCTATGAAGTGGTTCTCAGGGCCTAACATAAAACTTCAGGACCCTGTAAAAACACAAAGTCCCCGCTGGGACACCCCAGGGTGCTATGGAGGAGCATCTGAGTAATGCTGTGGATCTCTGTGGGAAGATGCACATCCTGTAGTCTCCAGGTTGGAAGGGAATCTCCAGAGGGCAAAGAAAGGCTCATGAGGATTCTGCCTGCGGGAAGGATTGGCTCCCAGGCGACCTCCTGTGCTTCCGCTGACCCTGCCCTACTGTTCTGTGGTTGTCTCATCTTGGGGTGGGGGCTATTCCCTCCTTTACCCTCCAAGGCAGCGTCACAGCCCTTGACCCCTGAGCGTGCCTCTCCCTCCTCTGCCACAGCCAGTACATCACGGCCTGCAAGACAGGCAGCATGGACCAGGCCCTGTCTCTGTGGTTCCTCCTGGGCTGGATCGGCGGAGACTCCTGCAACCTCATTGGCTCCTTCCTCGCTGACCAGCTGCCCCTGCAGGTGGGCCGGCCCCCGGGCGGGGTGGGCTGCCTAAGACAGCCATGGCAGAGGCATTGGGGCAGCCGGCAGGGGAGGCCCGGGCTCCAGAATCCTGACCCATCGTTCCATCTCAGGAGGGCCCCACTCTGTAAAAAGAGCCCTCTGCCCTGCCACGCAGCGTGACAGAGAGCTGATCAACGCCCTTCTCTGGGCCTCAGCTTCTACTTCTGCAGAATGAGTGCATCCGGCCAGAGGATTGCTGGGCTCCTTCACCTGTGCTATGGTCAACACTGAGCTTTTGGGGTGTGGGGCCCCGGAGGAGGAAAGTTTCCCTTGGAGGCCCAGGTGCTGCCATCCTCTTGTGGCTGGGCGGAGCTGAATCGCCATCAGGAATCCATTGTCTTCCCAAGCAGGGCTGTGAAGTCTTAATTGCTCCTGTGTCAGGCCAGACCAGAGCCCTCACTTCCCCTCTGCGTGCCTTCTTGTCCTGACTAGTGGAGCTAGCCACCATTACTGCCCAGGCCGGGCCCTTTGCCCACCTGATCTCTATGCCAGGTAGGAGCTGTGATCCCCTCCTTTCCAGATGAAGAAACAGCTCAGAAAGGTGAAGTGACTTGCCGAGGTGTGGTCCCCGGAGCCTGGGACCGCAGCCAACGCCCCGGGCCCTGCTTCTCTTGCAGACGTACACCGCGGTGTATTACGTCTTGGCGGACCTGCTGATGCTGTCACTGTACTTTCATTACAAGTTTAAGAAACGCCCCGCTGCGTGTGAGTATGGGCGTCTCTCTGTGTCGGGTGGTTGAGGGGCACCTGGGAGGGCTGGGAGCTTGGGAGGAAGCAGGTTTCCCATTGCTGGGTGATAAACCAAACCTCGGAAAGGCTTTCTTGGGCCTTATCTGAAAGCCTGAGCCCTGATCGGCCAAGATAGAGGCCAGTGGGCAGTGAGCACATCCGGGCAGGCCCACAGGGAGTCCCCCACCCTTGAGTTGTCATTCAGCAAACATGACTTCAGCTGCTCCTCCGTGCCCAACTGGGCCTGGAGCTGGGGAAACAAGGACAAGGCACACAGACCATTGCTGCCCTTGAGGATCCAGAAAGGGTGATGGCCAAGGTCAGGTCGGGGGCTATACAAGACCAGGCACTTGGGGGTGGGGCTGTCTCAGCATTTCCAGTTTGGATAAGCCCCTCCTGACCCTACTGCCCTCATCATTTCACCTTTACAACCCTAGGTACTGTTATTATACCCATTCTACAGATGAGAAATTAAAGCTCAGAGAGATTAGGTCACTTGCCCAAGGTCACACAGCCACTGAGGGCCAAGGCCAGGACTCAAGTCCTAGCCTGTCTGCTGCCACTCAGATCCCTAACCGCGGCTTTCCTCCTACCTCACGTCCAGTGTCTGCCTCCATCAATTCTGTGCTCTTGTTCATCTTGGGGCTGGCGTGTATCACTCCGCTGCTGAGCAGCGCTGGCTCTGTGGCTGCCCCGAGGGAGGTCTTCTGGGGGCGGTCGCTCCTGTCTGTGGAGCCGACCAGTAAGGTGAGGTATGGGTACTCGACGGTACAGTGGGGGCGGGGCCTGGCTCGTGGGTGGGAGGTTGCCCTCTAGGAGGGAGCTTGGGGATCTCACCCTGCACCTCTGGCCTCTACGAGGCACTGAGCACCCCCCTCTGCCCTCTCAGCCCTTCACTCGGCAGGAAATCATTGGCTTTGTCATCGGCTCCATCTCCAGCATGCTGTACCTGCTCTCCCGGCTGCCTCAGATCCGCACCAACGTGAGCCTCGGGCAGGGGCAGGTGGGGCCGAATCGAAGAGGAGCCGGCCTGGCAGCTCAGGCCCGCTGGGTTAAGGGGTAGCATGGTGCGGGAGTCTTCGTGCAGAAGGTCTGGGTCCAAACTCACTGTTGGCTTGAGCAAGTTAATCCAATTCTCCAAGCCTCAGTTTCTGCCTCTGGAAAGTGGGCATGCTGATGCCTGCCGTCAGGGGCCCGGATGAGCCCTGTGTGTCTCAGGGAAGGTGAGAGTGAGGGGCTGAGCTGAGAGGCCTGAGAGGAGAGGAGAAAGTGGGGAATCAGGGATGGGGAGGCTTGCTGGGCAGTGAACGTCAGCATGGGGCTGGAGAGCAGGCCTGGTGGGGCCAGCGCGTGTGGCAGCCACGGTCTCCTATGGACCTGGGTGGGGGGCCTGGGAGAGGTCGTTGGAGTGGGGATGAGGAGTCAGGCCCTGGAAGGGACTGGTCTGTGTGCCAGGCCCATGTCGGACACTGGGCACACAGTGAAAACTCAGCTGAGAGCATGCACAATATGATGGGGCAGACAGACACATGGACAGTTACAGCCCAGAGTGATGAGTCTTGTTTGAGGTCTCTGTCCCCACCCCCTCACCTCCAGTTCCTGCGGAAGTCGACCCAGGGGATCTCCTACTCGCTGTTTGCCTTGGTGATGCTGGGGAACACCCTGTATGGACTAAGTGTGCTGCTCAAAAACCCTGAGGTGGGCCAGAGCGAGGGCAGCTACCTGCTGCACCACCTGCCCTGGCTTGTGGGCAGCCTGGGCGTGCTGCTACTCGACACCATCGTATCCTTCAGGGTGCTCAGGGCAGGTGGGGCAGGGTGGGGTGGGCATGGCAGCGGTAGCTTCTGCCTGCACACGGCATCACTGTCTATTCCTTCATCCCCCCCATCCACCCATCCATTCATCCAGCCACCCATCCATCCACCCACCCATCTACCCATCCATCCACCCACCCACCCATCCTTCCGCCCATCCATCCATTCACATCCATCCATCCACCCATCTATGCATCCACCCACTCATCCTTCCACCCATCCATTCATTCACATCCATCCATCCACCCGTCCATCCAGCCACCCACCCATCCGTCCATCCATTCACATTCATCCATCTACCCATCCTTCCTTCCATCCATCCATCCATCCATCCACCCACCCACCCATCCGTCCATCCATTCACATTCATCCATCTACCCCTCCTTTCTTCCATCCATCCATCCACCCATCCGTCCATCCATTCATCCATCCGTCCATCCATTCACATTCATCCCTCTACCCATCCTTCTACCCATCCATCCATCCACCCGTCCATCCACTCACCCGCCCACCCATCCATCCATCCGTCCATCCATTCACATTCATCCATCTAGCCATCCTTCCATCTATCCATCCATCCACCCATCCATCCACCCATCCACCCACCCATCCATCCATTCACGTTCATCCATCTACCCATCCATCCATCCATCCACCCATCCATCCATCGATCCATCCATCCAACAGTCAGACCTCCTGGGTTCCCGGCACCCCGCTAGACACAGATCCAGTAGTGAGCAAGAACAGAATGGCCCTTGCCTCAGGAAGCTTACAGCTCAGTGGGGAGGCAGTCAGCAGACATGTAATTGTCAAATAGTTACTTCATTTCAGTGGCAATGAGTAAGGATCACAGAGAAAAACTGTGAGAGAGTTTGAGCCAGGGGGCTGTCCTGGTTTAGAGGCTCAGCAGAGGCCTCCAGGAGTGCCATTTAAACAGTGCCCTGAAGGAGAAGGAGTCAGGCAGAGTGAAGGGAGGGATATTCCAGGCACAGTTTGTGCAAAGGCCCCGAGGAACAGGGGAAAAACCAGCCCATCCAGGCCGGAGGAATGAAAGCTGGAACATGGAGACACGTGAATTAGAGTCAGAAAAACCTGGGTTCAAATCCCGGCTCCACCACTACATAGCTGTGTGACAACGGGGCAAACCGTTAACCTCGCTGTGCTTGCGTATCTTCATATGCGTGGTGGAGGTAACAGTCGCTGTCTCACCAGGATAATGGGACAATTACGTAAGATGAGTTACCCAGAAACACTCAGCACCCAACCCAGCACACGGGGAGCGCTCAGTAAATGTTTGCTAACATTTGACTGAATGGGCCGTTATTTGGATCTCGTTTGGGAGGAAGTAAACGTGGGTCTTGTTTCAACATTTGCTGAGTCCCTGCTGGGTGCAACAAGAGATAAAGAAAATTTCAAGCTCCAGTACCCCAAATGGCCCCAGCCGCTTGGTGAAACCCCCAGGATGCTGTAGGGTGGAGGAAGGCAAGATCCTGGGGCCAGGTTTGGGGGGTGGGGGGTGGCAGTGCGGTGCCTGAGGGAAGAGGGCCCCAATGCTGGACTTGGAAGATGAATGGAGTTCAGCTAGGGGTTGAGGAGCGGGGACGGCATTCAGAGTGGAGGGCACAGCAAGAACAGAGGCTGGGAGGTCAGGGCTGACCCCTCCCACCTGCCAAAGTTGGGGCGAGAGGGAGGGAAGAGAGAACAGCCTCCGGATGGAGCATGGGCCACCCCAGGGCAGGTCCAACCCTGTCTCTGCTCGGTTAGGCCTTGACGTCGGCCCCTCCAGATCTCCATACAGTTCCTGGTGTACAGGAACACCACCACCTCCTCAGAGCGCCAGCCCCTCCTCTCCAGCTGACCAAGATGCAGGCCAAGATGACAAGGACCTCCAGATGCCACCGCCAGGAAGGGAGAAGTGTGGGCAGTCACGGTGCTGCTGACCCTGGACTAGGCCGTGGAAGAAGCTGGCGAGGCCTAGAATTCCTGGCCCAGCCGTCTCCCCCCGTGCGTCCGAAACCTCTGTGGGCTGACTCTTCCAGAAGCCCTGACTGACTGACTCTTCTAGGAAGGAGATGGCCCCCAGTGCCAGCTCGTCCTCCCCTGGGACACACCTCCCAGGGTCTAAAGCAGCTGTCCCTGGGAGCCTGGAGGGAGGGGGCTGCAGCTGAGACAGAAGACAGTGAGGCTGCCCCTCAGCTCACCTACCTCATTCTGCCTGCTCACCCCTGGGGGGACACAGCACAGCCCGGTGCAGCCAGACTGTCCTGTGGGCTGCAGAGAGCCGAGTAAATGGTACTTCCCAGCGGGGCCTGTTCTGTTGCTCCTTCCCCAGGGTGCTGGGGTCTGGGCTGCTCTGGGGAACTGCGGTGGAAGGGATCTGGGCCTCACCCCCCAGGGCCCAGGTGGGGCCTAAAGGGTTAGCATGTGGGAGAGCCCAGCAGAAGGGGACCAAGTGTGCTGGCCAGCCCCAGGGGCCTCTGGTTTCTTCAGCCTGCTTCTCTGTGACAAGCCCCACACCTGGTGGTGGGGACACTCCAACAGGGTCCCTGCACCGTGGCGCTCAGGGAGAAGAATAGTTAAGGTTCAGATCAAGGTGGTGTAATTACAGAGTTTAGTCCCAAAGTCTGGCAAGTAGTAAGAAATCAATAAAGGTTAGCTTTGAGTATTTTTTAGTTGGAGGAGAGGGACAACCAGATCTCCCTGGAGATCAGGGAGACTTTCCTGGAGGAGGTGACACAGCAGGAGGATGAGCAAGAGATAGCCAGGGATGGGGGGGGGGGAGGTGCTGCAGGTGGGAGGAAGGGGAGGTGCGAGAGCCGGGGAGGGGAGGAGAGGAGGGCCCTGGTTCCAGGCCCAGCCTCACTTTGTCGCCCAGACCCTGTTTGGAGTCCACTTTCCTGTTGGCCATGACCCCGTGGGTGCCTGAGGACAGAGGGGCTGGCTCCGCTCTGTGCTGGCCGCCTCTCGCCCGCACACACCCCACCTCAGGTCCCCAGAGCCATCGGGGTGGGCTGGTGCCAGGTGGGCGAGAAGCTGCACCTCGGCCTCTCTCAGAATCTTTGTCTTCCAGCCCCAGAGAAAGGAAGGAGCCCAGCAAAGGGGCCCGCAGCCTTTGCCACGAGGGGGCGCCTTTGCCCGGTTTGTGCCACCAGTATCTGCAGAGCGCAGCCCTCCACGCTCAGCCCACACTGTGCAGGGCGTCCGGGATGGGAGTGAGCCTGCTCTGGTCCCTGCCCTCAAGGAGGGGGCACGGTGGCCGGGCCCTGGTGGGAAGGGCTGTGACCAGAAGGTACAAAGTGTCGTGGGAGTGGGGATGAGAGCAGCCCCGGGAGACTCAACCAGGGAAGGCTTCCTGGAGGAGTGGCTCTGGAGCTGAATCTTGAAGGGAGAGGGAAGGGCAAGTCAGGAAAAGGGAAGGTTGTGTGCCAAGGCTTGGAGGTGGGAGTCTGGGCTGCTCCCAAGGGGGCGCCACTTACGAAGAGCCTTGAAAGCCAGGCCAGGCCAACATGAGGACAGGGTCGTGGGGGCAGCAGCTCACAGCAGGTGACTGGGTTTGGTTGGGGAAGAGGAGGAGGGCATTGGGTCTGGGGAGACCAGGGAGGGGACACCTCTGGGGCTCAGGTGGGCAGTGAGGGCAGGTAGGGCTGGTCTCCCCTGCCCTGTGCGGGGACACACTTGCGGCGCCCCAGGTGTAACTGGCAGTAGTGGACGCTGTGTGCGGGGCTGGACTGGGCGCTGTCTCATTCGGTCCTCCCAGCCCCCTTTGCGGTAGGGGCAATCATGGTGGCTGTTTTACAGATGAGAAAGCGGGCTTTGAGGAGTTAGGCAACTTGCCCAAGGTCGCCCTGCTAGGAGTGGCAGCGTGTGATTCACATTAGGTCCCTCGGCTGCAGGGGCCGTCCCACACCTAGCAAGGGTTGAGGGCTCTCAGAGTCCCCTCCCTCCCTCTGTCCTTGGCTCAGGGTCCAGGGCTTCGGGCCGGGGGCAGTCCAGCCTCACCCTCGCCCTGGAGAGCAGCCCAGCCCTGCTGGACTCAGGCCCCTTCCCACTGTCCTGAGCGGTGGCTCCCACAGCCTCTGGCCTTGTCGCAGCAGAAGGGGCCCCTAGGTCCCAGCTGGCCCTGGCCTGGGCCTGGTTCAGGTGCCCTTTGCCAGCCAGCTGTGTGGCTCCACCCGGGGCTGTGACCTGGCTCAATGCCAGTTACCTGGGGCCAGCTGGTGCCCTCCCAGCCTGAAGAGCTGGGGGCTCAGTATGGCAGCATGAACCCCAAGGACGGGCCTGAACTAGAGCTGGGTGGGGAGAAAGACGAACCATCACAGCCCCTGCCCGGGAAGCCCCGTCTGATGGGGTGACACGATGCCTTCCTCCCGGGAAGCACCGGGTGCTTCTGTCTCAGGGGGTGATGGCTCTTCCTTTCAGGCGCTGCCCAGTCTGCTGAGAGTTGTGGGTTCTTCCTCCTCGGGGAGCCCCCAGTCTGATGGGGGAGACGTGGACCCTGCCCCACGGAGTGCCCTGATGGAGAACATAGTTGTGGTTAAGTGAGATGGGCTCGTCGGGCCGTGCCCCGGCACCTGGCACGTGTGTGTAAATAAATGATGGCTGCGTTAGCTCGTCCACCAGTACCCAGGACCTCCCCAGGTTCCTCCCAAAGAACGGAGGGCCAGTCTGATTGACGGGTTCCACTGCACCGACTGGGCCATGCTTGCTGGCAGGTGGGGTCCCAGAGGTGAAGGGTCCCCAGGTGGATTTCCTTTCTCCCCCAGGCTCACACGTCTTGCTCCTTGCTGCAGGCGAGGGCTGGTAGGTCCTCGTCTCCAGGTGTGGCCCGAAGGGATGAGAGCCCTCACCTCCAGTCCTCGCTCCCGCCTGAAGTGTGGCCCCAGCAGAGTTCTGCATTTGGTTTCCGGCCCAGGCTCAGCCAAAAAAGTGGCACCACACTTACCAGCTGCCCTTGTCCAGGAGGGTTTCTCTCTTAGGATGTTCATGGGGAGCAGGAGGCTGGAACAGTCACCCCACAAAGATCCCTGTCTTGGCGGGTTATATATTAGCTATGGAATGAGATGCCGTATATGAAAATGCCTTGCACGATGCCTGGCCCCGGTGCTCCCCAACTCCCGGGGTGGGTGGGGATGGCTGCAGGAAAAGCTGGGTGCGGGTGGCATTCTCTGGCAAAGCAGAAGGAACAGCCCAGCAGCCCCGTCCTCAGCACCCAGGCCCAGGCCCTCCCAGCCCAGGGTTCCCCTTGGTTATTTAGCAGACCTGGGATGTTTTGAAGCCACAGCTCAGACAATATGGCCTTCAGTTCCCAAAGCTGAGAAAAGGGAGAAATCCACAGCTCACCCCTCTCTTCACCCCTTCTCCTGTTGGCTTCATTGGAGCTGAATGGTGGGACCGCAGAGGCCCCTGGGTAAACAGCCAGGCACTGAGCCCTAACAGTCCCAGATGTCCGGGCACCCTATGGCGGGGAGCGGGGGTTGCCTTTTGCTTCTGATTAACTCAATTCAACTGATAACTACTGATCAGTCCCCCAGCTCTGTGACAGCCCTGAGGACACAGCCACCTACCGGTAGCTTTGTGCCTACCACATGTAAGTGCTCAATAAAGATTATTGTTCTTAATAAGTAATTTTCCACCCCCACCAAGCAGTATGAACAGAGACCGCTCCTGTTCACCATCATATGCCCAGTATACAGTAGGTGCTCAATAAATGCTTGGTGAACCAGCAATCACAGAACTATTGAATTTGTGCACTTTAAATGGGTGAATTGCATATGTGAATTATATCTCAATAAAGCTATTTGAAAAAAAATATCAAATTAGCTATTATTAAAATTTGAATGGGAAGTTATGGGTAATGAGAAGAGATTACATCTTGCAACTTTTCTGCTCATATATAGTTGTTACAAAGTAATCTGAATGCCTGATATGCGTGCGGAACTGGTGGTCACTTAGGTGCGAGAGGAGGAAAGGATTTCATTCACTTAGACGGGTCAGAGAGAGAGAGATGTACACATAGATGATGGAGTCTGTTCCACGGAGCATTTATGGAGCACTTATTCCAAACTGAAAAGTTTCACAAACAAGGTAGAGACAATGAGAATCAGAGTGTGTGTCTGTGAAGTAATTTTTTGTGTGTGTGTGAGGAAGATCAGCCCTGAGTTAACATCCGTGCTAATCCTCCTCTTTTTGCTGAGGAAGACTGGCTCTGAGCTAACATCTATTGCCAATCCTCCTCATTTTTTTTCCTTCCCCAAAGCCCCAGTAGATAGTTGTATGTCATAGCTGCACATCCTTCTAGTTGCTGTATGTGGGACGCGGCCTCAGCATAGCTGGAGAAGCGGTGTGTAGGTGCGCGCCCGGGATCCGAACCCGGGCCGCCGGTAGCGGAGTGCGTGCACTCAACCGCTAAGCCACCGGGCTGGCCCAGTAATATTTTAAAAAACTGAAAATAACTAAGAATAGAAAATTCAGGGGCCAGTCCGGCGGCGCAAGTGGTTGAGTGTGTGCGCTCCTCTTTGGCGGCCCGGGCTTCACAGGTTCGGATCCCGGGTGCGCACTGACGCGCTGCTTGGCAAGCCGTGCTGTGGCGGCGTCCCATATAAAGTGGAGGAAGATGGGCACGGTTGTTAGCCCAGGGCCAGTCTTCCTCAGCAAAAAGAGGAAGATTGGCATCGGATGTTAGCTCAGGGCTGATCTTCCTCACAAAAAAAAAAAGAAAGAAAATTCACATAAAACCTTAAAAATATTGTACTACATTTAAATATTTCAGAAACTTAAATTTCTCTAAATTATGAGTTTATATAAAGTAATGTTTTTATTCTGAACTTTATCTTTTTTAAAAAAGCTAATTGAATAACCAGAGTAGAAGGGACACAGATTATAAGCAAACTTTTTATAAAACAAGAAAAAAACAGCACCAAGTTGTTCCAAAGAAATATCTATTTAATAGATCATCTGCTTTCTAAAGGGCCGAGAAGTAAATTGCAAAATAGGTAACAAAGCTCTCACTCAAATATTGGTAGTGAAACAGGTAAGTTTTGATTGAAGTAACAATTTGACAAGGTGTGATTAAGTAATCTGATTTTCCTACGGAAGGTTTTACAAATTTTAGTTATATTGGGAAAA